TGTTCAACCTGAATATTCAAAATTGAATATTCTTTTGAGTACACTGTACACAGGAAATAGACTTTTCAGAATCAGATATTAAATTCAGGAAAGAAGCAACCTTTCAGATCTATTTTTAACTCTGAAAATAGCTTTGGCCTGTGGAAATTAAAGGCTGTGTGGCAGTTGTATGTATCCATGTTTTCAAAAGACATAAACACCTCAATTTACTGAAATCAATAGATGTTGGATACATGGATGCCTTTGAGGATCTAGACCATAACACTTTAGACTTTCCAAGCACTTGTGCAGACTTTAAATAATGTTTCCAATACCTTGCATGGTAAATGTATTTTCAGGTGAGGAGATTACATTTAGTGCAAATTTTCAAAAGACATTTTTGGATTTTGGGTGCCTAACTTTAAGTGCTACCTAGCAGCTTATTTGGAGAGTAACTCTGAGGTGGTTTTCAGTTGTTGGGAAGCTTCTTGTACAATCTCAGTTTTGTCACTTTCCCTTGTTAGAGAAGCAATGAGAACATGAAAAAAACGATTTAAATCTAGGATCTGATTACATCGTCAAAAGCTGCACAGATGTATATTAGGTCTTGTCTTCACTGTTGAAATACAATGTTTCTTACCTCTTAACAAATGTTCATGAACTATCTTGAGATGCTAACACAGTGATGACAAAGTACTTTAGTTTTGCCATAGTCAAGTCCAGGCAGCAGCATATAGCTGACCTTGCCTAGTTTACCTCAGAGTGGCCACATCTACACATGTGCTTTATTGTGAAGTAGACTAATTAGCTGCAAAGTAAAGCATCACCATCTACATGTGGGATTGTTATTAGGCTGCAGTAAACTAATTTATGCCAGGCTAATTTACTGTGATTAAACGCATGTGGAGATGCTGACCATGGGCCTAAATTGCACCCAGCCAGCTGAGGGATAGACTTCTGCCTGCCACCTAGCCTGACACCTCTGCCCTTTCAGCACTCTTGTGTCCCAGCCAGCCCCTCTGCTTGATGCTGACCCCTGGTGCTTCCTACCAGGCTGGGCCTACTCTTCCCTGGCTCAATGTGCTGTAGCCTCAGGAGAACGTGTAGACACTGCACTGGGGAGTAGTTTACTTTGACTCAAACTGCTGTGGAGCTTTTTGCTTTGCATTAATTGCATGTGTAGATGCACTCAGTGGGCATGTCTACATGTTCAGTAATGTGCCCTAGTTACTGCGTATTAAGTTTAGTACTTAGTTAACCAATGCGCAGTAACTTGTGCTATTGCACAGTAGTGCCAACACATGGAGTTTTGTGGGTTTTTTTGTTTGCTTGTTAGTTTTTTTACACTTACTGCACAGTAGCCTAATAACACAGTTTTTGACCAGCACACTACTGATAAGTGTTTACTCTTGTGAGCACTTAGCCTTTTTTTTCAGTCTTAGATTATGCATGTAATAGGAGTGCCCAGTAATAAGCCCTGACTTTTGTGCAGGACAGCATTGCCAGCAGTGAAGTGAGTTTATTGTGACTTTGGGGGTCAGTTTTGAAGGTTTCTTATTTTTGGTGCAGCAGTGGCTTTATGTTTGACTTCTGGTTTTTAATATTTTTGTGAGGTGCCTCATGGCTTTTCAACAAATTTCTACAGAATGGAAATGCATAATTATTTACCACTTCTCTCCCACTTCCTAACCCTGCAATTTCTTTTCTTTCCTGTTTACAACCTGTCAGCCAAATGGTGTGCTGGAGGGGCTGTAATATGGATGAGTACCTGGAGTGAATGTAATATCTCATTTTAGATTATACCATAATTTACAGAATGTAGGGTTCCTTATTTGTTAAACCCTATTGACTTAACGCTGAGTATTAAGAGTTTTCTCGGTAGATGTGACCCTTTTATTTCCAGGATTGTGAATTATACTGCAGAGCGATGCCTGTTTTTATTTGCTGCTTTCTGGGCAGCAGATAAATGTCTGAACAGCTTGGAAAAACCCTATAAGTTATGAAGAAATTATTACTTTTACATATGCCTATAATTTGTAAATACCAAATTTGTTAATGTTTTGGTGCTAATGTATGGTCAGCCCCTTCACTGTTTCTGTATTAAACTCTTTTGTAAAAGTAAACTCAGCAAATTTTCCAGCAACCATTGCCAAGTTTGATTAAAGAGTTGTTTTCTGTTTTATTGTGCTTTTATTACACTTAAAAGAATAATAAGAAACCTTAATTTGACATCTAGGAGACTATGAAAAAGTGCAGTCAGTTTGGAAAAGAGATTAGGTAGTCTCAATAAAATTTGTGCCTGATGAAACATGAGAATTTGAAAAGGACAGTGTGGTCTGAAGAGACAGAACAGAACACCAGGAAATGATGTGCTGGCAGTGATGTGGAAAGATAGTGAATGTTGGTTTGGTCTGAACACTCTGGCAGTGTCACTAATTACAGTCTTCATGTCACCACCCTTTCCATCTGACATTCGCTTTGGGAGTTGATGTAGCTTGCACCTTGAACAAGATTAAAGCATTTGGTTTATGGTATGTGGCTAAATTGGGCAGAGAGCAGTTTGCTCCTTTACAGAATCAGGTAAGGACCCGGATGAACATATTAGAAAACAGGACATCATAAAATAAATTGCCCCAGCAAAAACTAGATGGTAGTTTTTTAGTGTGGCCTAGTGATGACTCTCTTTTAAGACAGTTAAACCTAACTGTGTTTGAGCGGGATATGAACTTTGGTTTCTGGGGATAAAAGGGAACTGTTTACTTACCACAGCATAATGATACTCAGTTTCTAGAGTTTACAATTCCATGAATTGGTATATGATGTAGGAGTTACATGCTACAGTAGCTTTGCAGTGGGTGTGTGTTTCCTTATGTCCAGTGTCTTCTCCTACTCAAATATCAACCAAGGTATAAATATTATGCAGGAGCAGCAGTGATTAATCCAGTAAAACATAAAGCACTGAACAATAAAACCTTTCAAGAGGGAATTAGACTGCAAACCTTGAGCACATAAGTTTGATGGCTGATACAGTTGCACATAATTTTTATTCTTAACATGTAGCCTTTAAAAAATGAAAAACTCTAATAATAATAATAATAATAATAATAATAATAATCTCCAATTAAATGGCTTGTAAAAGTGTGGAATAATGTACTTGACTACCTGTGCATTAGAACCATATCGTCTTCTTTAGTATATACTATTTATGAATATGTATACCAGCCAAATTCTGAACAACTGAGTTTTCTGCGGGGGGGGAGAAGGGAGGCCATTCACTAGTGTTTTAATACTGTATTCTCCAGTAGTTTCTGAATTGGGATTTTTCATTTGAATCCTTCAGTTGTAAGGACTCGTCTGCTGTGCTGATACTATGTCTCTTTGCATAAGATCAGAGCTTTTCCAAAATTCTGCCACTCCCCAACTGTTGTTCAGGGGGTTATGCATTTGTTGGCTGCTTTCCATTCATAATACTGCAATTTATTCATTAATAACAAGATGCTAAGGAAATGGACAGAATTTCATATAGACTTCCTAGCACTTGCCAAACATAAATTAATTTTGACTTGCAATATGCCAGCATGGGCTGATCTAAGACTTTGAAAAGGGGAGTGCAGCTGGTGTGGCACATAATTACATAGAACATAACACTCTTTTTTGCCATTAAAGAGAAACTAGATGCTTTACTAATATGTGAGGGGCCTAGCAGTGTACTATTTAGTTGAAGATCAAAGCAAAAACAAATTTAACTACTGGAATGTGCACTAATTCGCTACATTATTAAAAAAAAAAAAAAAAAGTTTAAAAATCACAAGCTAGGCAAAAAGTAGCAAAACAGTCAAAAGATATTGTGCTATTAGTCTTGTAGGCATTACAGTTAAATGTACATCTCTTACTCAGATTCATATAATTAAATCTTAGACTTCTTATGTGTCTTGACAGTGCCTCCAATACTTCACTGTCAGTCATTTCTACACCTGAGCTAACATTATCACATATAACTTAAGGTTTTTACCTAGAGCTCAAAACAGTGCAGGGCTGTGAAATAGAAGAAAGACATTACTACGAATGGCTAACAGATAGTAAAATTGCAGAAAGGATAGTTTGAATAGTGGAACATCAAGACTGCTACGAAGGATAGAGGGTCATTTAACACCTGTGGAGTAGGGACAGATAAGCAGGGAGATAATGAGCAATGAAGTCAGTTGACTCTCTCAGCACTGCCTGAACACAAATGTTGCAGTCCCTTGAAGTTGGTTTTAACATTTTTGGTGGGGTAGGAATCAAAGGGGATTGCCACTGTACCACTGCATCCTGCCCCCCTTCTTCCCCTCACCCAGATCCACCCCTTATGCCAGCCGTGTAATAAGTAGAATCATCTGTGTTCTACAGGTGATGGAGGAGAATGGACTAAGGCCCAAACAGGTTAAATGTCTTGTCAAAGGATGTAAAAAAAAAAGATGATGGCAAAAATCAGAAATAATATGCAGATCAGCTGGTTCGAAGTCCATATTCCTTATTGCAGTAGCAGTACATACAGATCACAGTGACTCTTGGTTTGCAGGCATTTTTTTTATATAGAAATGCATTTAACTGTAAATAGCATCCATTCCAAGCTGCATAACAAGCTAAGGGAGGTTGCAGATAAGAGCTGTAATTTTTGTGTTTAACTTTGAAAAATGGAACTTGAAGTAATGACTTACCTATCCTGGGTGAACCAGAGAGAATTCAAAAGGGTACAACACTTAAAGAAAAAGTGCTTCTCTTGTATTTAGTAATGGATTTCAGGATCAGTACCATCCTGCAGTGTATCCTGTGAAATACCTTCTGCCATGGGCCCAATATATTAGTCCCAATTAAATTTCTTAAGTTCTGAGTTCAATGCTGAGCTTGTAGTTTGATCCATAGGTCACATACATTCTTGTTATCAATTTTAAATTAGTTCTGTAATAACCAAGAATTGCCAAACATTTAACTTGCTGTTCTATCCAGTATAGTAATCTTGCTTCTCCTGCCTGTCCCAGGGGTACAAGCACAGAGGCAACACAAACCCAAAGGAGAGACCCCAAAACCGAGAAATACCTACCTACTTTAGGTTACCAAATGCCGACAGAACAACGCCAAGGGGAAAAGCCCGCGTGGTTCATTAGCCGCGCTTATATACAGTTGAAGCTGGTGGGTGATGTCCGCGACATATGCTGGCCAGCTGTGTTAAAAGCTGGCACTAGCAGGAAGATGGAGAGAGCGGGAGAGGCAGTGGAGGCTGCAGCGGCTCTCCATGCTGGTGATGGGCAGTGCCGGCAAGCAAAAGAAAGTCCCGAACAGGGAGAAATGATCCAGGCAGCAGCAGCTGTCCACAGCCTGCACGCTGGTTACAGGCAGCACTGGAGTGCGGGAGAAGATGCCATCTTGAAACAAGCGGCGAACGCTGCAGAGGTGAAGGCAGTTCCATGCTCCGGGCACCAGAAGCACTGGATGGTAGGAGGGGAACCGACTGGGAGAAGAGCAGAGGGGAGCTCCCACCGGAGGCAAAGAGGGGAGCAGCATTGGGGGATGTGGGCAGGCTCTGGCTACAGGGCAGGGAGAGAAGAGAGACCATTCTTCTTGATCTCCCTCTTTCCTACCTGCCCTCCTTTTCTTTGTGTCCTACATTTTTGTTTCTTCTTGAGTATAACACTGAGTTACCTTGCATTTGTTTTTTTTTTTTTGTATTTTCATACTGTGGGCAATAACTTTGAGCCATGAGGTCTGTGGAAGACATAACAAGTCACAAGCGTCGCTTACAGGAAGCAATCGGTAACCAGCACTGAACAGGAGGGAAGAACCCACAGGAGAAGCGAACACCCAACAGACCGAAAAGCCCATCAAGGTGAGGATATGACCTGATACCCGAGAAAGTGCGAAGACCATCGAGACCAGAAGGCAAGCTGCAGTGACATCAGGCTGTCCGCCATAGGCTGGCGTATGGACGGGGTGTAGGGGAGGTAGAGTCCCACGAATATACATTGGGAGGAACATCCAACCTTGAGGGACCTCCAGCAGGAGATCCCACCACTGAAGTTGCATCCAAAGTCATGACAGGCGAGTTCTGGGGTACTTCCTGGGGTGATCAGGGTCCCTACCAGAGGTTGCACGAAGCCTCTCTACGTCTATCACCAGGTGCCCACGCCAAGGCAGTGTGCGAACGGATTTTCAAAGAAAGGTGGGCACACTACCATACTTTAAAAGAGTGAGAGAAGAGAAGAAGAATTGCATTTCCCAATGGAGGATGCAGGCAGAAAGTGCTCTAGTGGCAGACCTGCCTGGTAAGGATGTTGAATAGTGCCCAAACAATATATCTTATCTTTCTTTCACTTTTAACCCAAATATTGATGGTTTACATTCATCCCCACTCCTAACCCCCTGGACCTGTTTCTTCTCTTCTGCACCCTCTGGACCTCTTTGACAGGCTTAAGGGGAAGAAGCCTCCCCAGGATGCCTTGTCTTTCATCATGTGTTCTCCTGACACACTCCTTTGCCTGCTAGCTGAGTAAAGTGAACAGGATTAGCTCCATCATTAGCCACATTTGTATATTTTTGTGCGATTCTAAAGCATTAATAGCATGACTTAACCTGGCAATGTCAAACAACCCTTTTAAATAATGAACATAATGTATAGTTTAGCAGAATTCCAGCATATCACCTATAGTTTGAATTGTAACCACTTCAGGGATATGTTTATATAGGGGGAAGGGAACATGTATTGTGCTTACTTTTGAATGTAACATGCAAAACCATTTTTGTTAATGTTTAATTTGTCATTTTCTTAATATAACCTATAGTCATACCCAATTGAATGTATTTAACAGTGTCTTTTTGATTCTAAGCTGTTTCTCAAAAACCATTATCTTAGAGGCCCTTTTAGGTTAAGTACAGACAAGCAAAAAGTGTGAGGCAGAATCGATTCAATCTAGGCAACTTCCTCTAAACTGCCTAGGCTGAACTGATTGATAACCAACTGAACTGACCTTCAGTTCTCAATTGGGGAAAGGCAGGGGGAAGCCAGTACTGACCCACGGTAGTAGGCAGGGGGCTCTAGAGCATGTCTTCAAGTCTAATGACCATTGCCAGCCCAGCCAAGTGTCCCTAAGCCCCTGTTGTCCCCCCACAGGAAGCTAAATAGCCCCCTGTCCGGGTGTTGACCTGCCTTGGGGGAGTCTCCCTCTCAGGAGGGGTTCCCCAGCCCAGGTAGCCCTGGGGATCTGAGGGGAACCCCCCCCACCTTTCCTTTCCCAGCTGCTGATTTGCTTCAACTGCTGCCACAGGATGGAGGGAGAAGTCCTCCAAGCCAGGTGCCTTCCCACGCGGCCCAGCATGGGGGGCACCTGGGAGCCCCCACCTTGGGGGTGCTTTCCCCCCACCCCACCCCAGGGTTCCCAAGCTCTTGGCAGCCCTAGGGAGCCAAGGGGAATTCTTCCCTTCCTGAGCCCCAGAGCTGCTTGCCTTAGTCCCTGTGAGTCTTAGGGATAGCTTAGGGCAGCCTCAGGGAGCAGAGGCACATTCGTCCACTCCCCTGCACTACTTTTGCCACCGACTTGCAGCAGCTGAGGCAAAACCAGCTGGAGAGTAGCAGGAGAATGTCCCTCTGCTCCCTGAGGCTGCCTGAGACTTGCGACAGCTAAGGAGGCAAGCAGTCCTGGGGTTTGGGAAAGGAAGAATTTCCTTTGGCTCCCTAGGGCTTCCCTGGGATGGGAGACCCTGGGCTGGGGGAAGCCCCACAGAGCAGGGGCTCCCTGGTGCCCCCATGCTGGGCTGCATTTGCAAGCACCCAGATGGGGGGACTGCTTCTCCCACCCTCCTGTGGCAGCAGCTGAAGCAGTTAGCAGCTGGGGAGGAGGTGGTCTGCCAAAGGTCAAATAGCCCCCACCACATGGGCTTTCCCTCCCCCATACGCTGTATAGACCCTGGCTAGAGGGTGTGGGGGTCTCTGTTCCCTTGCCTTCTGGGACAGAATTTCCATAAACTGGTTTGATGTAAATCAGTTAAGTCTGATACTACATTCATCCAGGTTTATCTTAAACTGGTTTTGGCCATTTTCAAAGCAGATTTTATGCACTGAACTTTTGTTCCTTTTACAGGTTTAAACCAGTTTCTGATCACTTAACTAGTTTATGTGCAAATTCTGTCCCTAGCCCAAAGGAACAGAGGTGTCCTTAAAACTGGTTCATGAACATTACAGATAAAATAGTTCCATGGCTTTGAACAGCTAGAAAATGCAATGTGAAAAAAGTTTTTGTGTTTTGAGTTCTTAGGATGTAATTGGCCTCTTCTGAAATAAACTTTGGACTAAGTGAAAAAGGAGAGTAGATTATGAATAGAAAATTTGCAAGGTGTTGGTGGAAAAAGGTTCAGGAGAAAATTGGAAAAATGAGGGAGGAGGGGGAGGAGAACAGAGTAAAAGTTGTTTTTTGTTTGGTTTTTTTTTCCATTGCACAACAAATATTTTAGCATTTAGGTAACTTTTGTCACAGCCCAGTGATTTTTTGTGCCTCGGCACTATGGAATTTCCTGGCCACATGAGAGCTCCTTTGCACGGCAGAGTGTTCTGCTGCAATTAAGAGCCTGCGTGCAGGAGAGTTCCCGCCAATTTGCAGTTTCCTTTGCAGGATGCATTTCTTCTTTGCAGCACAGAAATGCACGGTGCAAAGAGTTCCCGCTATTCGGATGCAAATTTGTGCCCCGCTATTGGCCAGTGCTAAATTATTCACACGTGGCAGCTAGTAATTGGCTCGCTGGCCGTTTAAAATTCCACGCGACTTCCGCCCAAGTCGAAGAGCTTTGAGCACGCTGCAGAGTGTCTCTGAAGTTATCTGACTTGCGGCTGCCGATCGATAGACTGATCACCTATCGATCTTTCTTCCCGTCGCTGAGCGCAACCCCAGACGTACCCCTTTCCCCGCCAACTTCGAATTGCGGACAGATTAACTGGCTTGGGCCCCGCCAGCTGGAACAACTCGTGTGGTTGTTCCGACGACTGGACCACCTGCGTCGTGATTGCAAGCGGCGTGAGTAAAGTTTTTTGCAACCAATAAGTTGTGTCTGCCTCTCCATTCACCAGCCCGCCCTGACGTACGAGCGTAACTCGAGTCGGCCCTGGCTGTCCGAGACAACTTTAACGCTTTGAGGGCTGAATATAGAAATAATTACACCTGCACTTGTAATTACTCCCGTAAGTAGTCCCATTAAAGTTAATCAGGCTCCACAGAGGCATAACCGTACACAGAGGAATAACTATTTATGAGATTGTGGAGCCTGGGAGAGCACTTACTGATAACTGATAGGTATGCATACAAGCAAACTGTGGGGATTTAAAAAATATTATAGCAAACAAACAAAAAATACTGGTTTTAATGTATTTGTGTCATTATTTAGTACCAGGAGGAAGATCAGCTAGGGAACATGGTCACAATTCCATTGTCTATGAAATAAATAATGGAATTGTGACCATAAATCCAGAAAGAACCACTGTGATCCTCTGGTCCAGTGGTTTCCAACTGATGACTGACTGACTGGCACTATATTGTCCTCAAGACCCCTCAATGTTGTTTGCAATGATTGGCAACACGTAGGGGGTGCACGTAGGTGTATGCACCCCGCCCTGAGCGTGGTGGTGCATCCCCCCTACAAGAAGGTGCCGCTGACACTTTTGGCAGAGCCTGTGGGTGGTCACTGCTTGCCCCCTCCCCCCCCCTTTGCTGCCACCGCTACTGGCGGTGTCTGCTGGTGGTCGCTGACCCCTGGTAGGCTCTTGCCACTCCCCTCTCTGCCCCCCCTCCCCCGCTGCTGACCGTGCCAACGCCATTTGTAGAAGCTCCCTGCTTACCGCTGTGCTCCTGCTGCCACCAGCACCGCCATGCCCCCCTAGCTGCCGGGGCACGTGTTGTTCATGTTTGCAAATACAGGAAATTAAGAAGTTTAAAACTGTAGTTAACTGGGAGAGCAAAGCATGACATTGCCTTCAGCCTGTTGCTCAGTATTATAGGGAATCTAGCCTAAAGAGGTAGAAATATCGAACATAGTTCAACCTTAAAGATAAGAGATTTGGCTGCAGCAAAGATTGAAAAAGACATTTTAGTTGCAAAAATTTTCAGGGTTGGGGAGACAGCGAGGCAGAGAACTATAATACCCAAGCACAATGGTGTTGGTTAAGATCATCTTCCAAATTCAGTTTAATAATTTCCTATCTGTATTGTGTTTGGGTGATGAAGTACAGCTAGGTCTGATGCCTTTTCTTGTAGTGCCTTTATGCTTATATAATAAAAGTAATCGCAATATTTTGCTTCACTTTTTTTGCTTTATAGTTCCTTTTCAAAAGTTTGATTCCTTGAATCATGAGTTTATTATCAAATTTCTGAATGCAACACAGATTTTTTTCAGTAGGTTAAAATTCCT